GGGGTGGGTTTGCTATGAGAATTTGTTGCATTCTTACAAGTCCTACAGGATTAATTTGAGTTACCTCTCTGAATATTAAAAATAAAATTTTGGAAGTTTAGATATACTGATTTGGTGTTAGTATTAGTTTTACTAATTAATTTCTACTTTATAATGATTGTATATTTATTTGATATTCTGGTCTAAGATATACATCTCTTTATCTGTCCTATACATACTAATTTAGGAGCAAGTGTATTGAGAAACCTGTACATTCCGGTAGGTAGAATTATTCAGAACATTATGGTTTTTATTCAGTAAAGAGTCTTTTCTCTAAAACACACTCACATCCACACAAATGGTGTACCAAACATCAGGCCCCATAAACAATGTATTATATAAATTACATTAAATGTTCAAATTGGTTGCCATTTTCCTCTAAATACTTCCTTACTTGATGGATGACCTTTGCATATCCTAAGTACAGTAACATTTTCACTGAAAAGAAATATTAATTAACAAAATTAATATAACACATTTTGATTGGCCTATGAGGCCTGACTTTTGGTATACTGTTTGTATGTGTCTCTCTCTTCTGCAACTATGAGACCTTGTGGTTAAAAAAGAGAACACATTTGCACATTGATTTGCATATTAATTTGTCTAGCATTTGTATTATTTGCATATTAATTTGGCTAACATTTTAGTCACTTGTCCCAATAACCTCAGCCTATACTTTTAGCTAGGTTTTACCATTGCTACTTTCAAACATTTGTAATGTTAATTTTTTAAAAAACTATCCCACTTATGTAACAAGTAATATACCTGAAGCTGGGTCAGGTGTCTGAAACAAAGGAGGCAAGAAGAGAATTAGACAAAAAGAGAGTATGGAATTTAAAAGCTGAAAATTTATTTCTTAGTTAAGATTTTGTCTACATCATCTGTCAGTAGAAATTTGAATAGAACTAGCAAGTGTTGGGTTGCCCCTTTGATACAGTATTATAATGTAGTTTATAGTTACTCCAAATAATGAGGTAGAAGCAGGGGTGGGCTTCAAAAATACCAGCAACCGGTTCTCTGTCCGATTGCTGGGTGAGCATGCCCATGGTGGGCGTGGCCTAGTTGGCCTCCTGCACCACGGTGGAAGGGCTGTTTTCACCCTCCCTGGGCTCCAGAAGAGCCTCCAGAAGGGCGAAAACAGCCTCCCTGGCCTCCAGAAGCCCTCTGGAGGCCGGAAACAGGCCCATTTCTGGCCTTCTGGAACTTCCAGGAGGCCCATTTTTCGCCCTCCCCAAGTCTCTGCATGGGCCCTGTATTTATCTGGCATCCAAAATGGGCTGCATTGGGACTCCTGGGAGGGGCATGATGGGCAGGGTGGGGCAGAGCGGGCCAGCCAGGGGTGGGATTTGTGGGTTCACTGATCAGTGCAGAATATTAGCTAGAGGATTGTCCGAACCTGTGCGAACCCGCAGCAGCCTACCCCTGGGTAGAAGGCAGATAATAAGGGACATACTTTAATTTTGCGGAGAAGTATAGAAAAGGGCCACTTTATTGTAAATTAAAAAACAATGTAGATCAGGCAGGGGTGGGTTTCTACCAGTTCTGTCCACCTCTGTAGAACCGCTAGCTCTGAAGAACAGCAAACATAGAACCGGTTCTATGTCTGTTGATGTTTTTGCCCAACCGCCCACCCGGGCTCTTACCTGATCTTTATTTCCTGATTTTTCAACTTCAGCTGCCAAACGAGGCACAGCTGCAGTTTAAAAAGTAGGAAAAGAGGGCTGTTTCAAAGGCTGAGTCTCTGCACACAGCATGCTGATGACTATTTACAGGCGCGCGGCTCACAGCGTGCAGGGAAGCTCGTAAATCCCGAACCGGTAGTTAACCCTGTTGTATCCCACCCCTGAGATCAGGGTTGAGAACAAACCAGCCTCAAGGTTAAGTCAGGCTGACCTCCTTATTACCAATAAGGGGTTGGGGGTCTATTCCTGTCTGTGTAATCTAATTCATTATTCATGACTGTTAATGCATCTTTTCTATCTCCTATATAATCTGTTATCAATTTACTGTCAGGGCTTTCAATCAGTTTGGGTGGGAGCTCAACTCTTTCTCTTACAAGGCATTTTAATAAAGAAATGTGGTTTTAGATCTCGATTGTTTCAGTTTATATTATAGTGGATCATTACTTTTTAAGAATATCGCAAAGATCAACCACTATAACCTTTATATAGCTGAAGCACTAAAGCGCTGTGTAAATGCCCACAGAGAGTCTATTTATAAAACCCTCTTAGTCTTTTTCTGTTGTGCCTGTATTTCTCATTAGAGCAAACCTTTTTAGTAGAGTTGGATTATTCAGCAAATATATGTGGAAATCTTTACATAACTGAGTTTTTTTTCAGCTTTTCAATTCCCCCCTTCCTCCAACTCTATCTCCTTCTCAATCATAAATACAAAATTTCACAATGAAATTACTTGAAGATGAGGCTTTATTTGGATAAAAAAGAGCCATTTGTTAGAGCAGCTGAAAAAAACATAGCAAAAAAGGGGAGGGGGAAGTTTGGAAAAAGAAAATCATCTTCAGCTTTGCATGTCTGGCATCATATTTGAGTTTCCCAGAATGTTACATTATTAATTAGCAGGAATCTATGGTAAGATAAGACTAAAATATTTTATATATTCAGTTCTTTAGTGTCACTACTTGATTTAACCTCTGCATGCCTTGTCAATTCCTTTTAAAAATGGTTTGTTTGTTTTAATGCTACAGTCTATGGTTTTGATTTGAGATTGCTTATATTTGCAGAAATGTTTTGTATAAATATATACATTGATCATTGCCCTATCTTCCATTTTCTTGCTGCCTCTTTGGTTGTTGTTTCCAGTGGCTGGGTTCATACATCACATTAACAGCAAGCCATAATGACAACATTCCATCCTTGACTAAGTTTGTCATTAATTGCATTGGGAACTCGCTATTTTCAGCATGCTATATAAACCAGGTTTATTTGTTTGGGCATATATCAGTGCAGCAATTATGATTTGTAAGGTCTTGTGGAAGACTGATTCTAACTCCTCCAATGTAATCTGTTTTGCCTTAGTTTGTTGTATGAGCATAGCCGGTTATAGATTAAGTAAACCATGGATAAACAAGTCATAGCTCATTGCAATGGACAGATCAAATCAGTGCATTCAATTTTAGAATGTAGGTGTATTGGAGCAGGGATCTCTGCTGTTGTATTCTGTAAAATATCATGGAGGTAGAAACTTAGATACTTGCAGTGAAGATCACTTTTCCTAAATTGTCCTCTCACAACACAAAACCATGGTTTCTGACATGGAACCCATCTGGTTTGCCTTGTTTCCCTCTAAAGCTTCTGAGAATTAAGGAAGGAAGCATGAAGCTAGAATTCTAGCATAACAGCAGTAGGATGGAGACACAGTGTACATTTGCAGAAGTAGATAAACGCAGCACCATTTTCTGTCTCGTTCTTTAGAGTTGCTGTGAGTGGAAGCAGGAAACAGAGCTGGGATGCCCACAGACTGGAAAAGGGGGATGATCTGATTGATATTGAAGTGCCCCCCCCAGCTTTGAGATGGTTCTTTAAAATCTTAGAGTAGACCAAACTGGATTTTTCTCAGTGCTTGATAAATGAATGCATCTAAAGCAGTGCCACTGATAGCATCAACAGATTTGTAGGGAAACAGACAGAAACATTACAAGGCTGATGAAAAAATGGTATTCACAGAGCAAAAACCCAGGCTCATGACCCCGATGAGATTCGAGACTTTTGAAACTGAGAACAGACAGAAATTTGTTGCATTTTGAAGAAAGTCTGGGGAAATGTGTTGCAGTTTTATATTGCCTCATTATAGGAATTATCAAATGGTGATAGTTACCTTTTTAAAGAAGTGTTGGAAGGAAAATCCATCGGGTTCAGTTCCAAGCTGGGAGAAAGACACTGGAAACATGGAGGCTAATTGGAAAGAAAAGTTTATTGATGAAGCAGAACCACCAACCACATGTCATTCTGGGCAGCTGATAAAATGGTTGAATGAGTGGATGGATCTTTATAGGTTTCTGTGACTTTGAAGTTTGGGCTGTTCTGGGAATGATGCAAAGAAAGGGGCTTGTGTTAGGCAATTCCAATTGTGGCTAATGGCTTTCGTCCTCTGTTGGATCTTGGGTGAGGGGCTGCTTTTTAATCCTACCATTCTGCCTTTGTTAGCTAGAGTTTTGAAATATCCTGTCTTGAATGGGTTACCAAATCTGCATCTCTAAAAGCCGCCTCCTCAGCTTCTGCTTGGGGCAAGGAGTCTGAGGCTGGTTTCTGTCTCACTTAAGAGCATTTCCCCCCCATTTCTCCCTTCAGGGAAATATAAAAATTTTTAATATTTCCCAAAATATTTCATTCTTCTGGGGGTGGGGGCTTCCCACAAAAGAAAACAACAATTGTCATATGACAAAAATATCAGCGGGTTGCAGCTCAGCAGTTAGTAGTCTGTACCCCAGAATGTAGAAGCAGAAAAAAGGCTGGAATTCTGGAGAGCTACTCCCAGTGAAAGGAGTGAACATCTGGAGTATCTCATCTGCTATGTATACAAAATAGTCCTCAACCGACAACCACAATGGGAATCAGAATTTCCATTGCTAAGCAAGGCCCGATTTTACAATCTTTCTTGCCATGGTTGTTAAACTAATCCCTGCAGTTAAGTGAATCACACGGGTTATGAAGAGAATCTGGCTTCCCCCGTTGACTTTAGTTGTCAGAAATCAGCTGAGACAATTACCAGTGATGATCACATGACCCCCAGGATGCTGTGACTGTTGTAAATGCATGCCAGTTTCCAAGTGGCTGAATTTTGATCATGTGATCGTGGTGATACTAATGGGCATAAGTGCAAGAATAACTCACTTTTTTCACTTCCATTGTAATTTCAAACAGTCACTAAACAAATGACTGTGCATTGAGGATTGCCTGTATTTACTTTGGATGTTTTTATTGTTCTTATTGTTTTAAAATGTCTTTGATATTTTGATTGTAATACATTTTTTGAACTGTAAGCCACCTAGAATCATTGACTCAAATGGGCAGCTATAGAAATTGAGTAAATTGATTGCTTATTTCATTGCTTATTTAGTATCCATGACTATCACTAAGTATTGTATCTAATGTTTCATGACAGGGGTCATCGTCACAGCGGGATCACATGATGTATTGGGACTTTCCCCCCCTTCGCTAAAGTGGGTATGGGCGTGGCCTGCTGGATGTGACGCATCTAGCCCACGGGCCATGAGTTTGAAAGCCCTGTTTTATGATGAATGTATTTTTACAATGACTATGATAATGATCTGTCACTATTGTTACATGTACACTGGGAGCTTATTCACCAGAGACAAATTCCTTCGGTATCTAATCACACTTGGCCAATAAAGAATTCTAATTCTAAATAAATAAATAATATTAGCTAACAGGCCAATTCAGCTTAAAGTTCCAACTCTTCAAAGCCTATGCACCACAGATGCTCATGACACCTATCAAAAGGAATGGAAAGTTCTTATAGTCTGGGCCAGGAGGAAACAGGTGAACTATAACAAGGTGAAGAAAATTATGGTCTCCCAAAGTACTTCAGCCATCCCAGAATTGAGAACACTGCCGTCATTGTCTGACAGCAATTTCACCTGAAAGAAACAAGATGGATGGACACCAAAGAGCTAACTAATTAGAGCTGTAACAGACCAGCCACTACGCCTCTTTAAGCAAACTTTACTCTTTGTGAAAGAAAGTAAAGCACTTGGAATGAAGGAAATGTGATTTAGGGAAGGGGGGGAAAAGGCAGCAGTTATGTTTTGTGAGCTTTAGTTAAAATCTGACCCTCCAATGTAACTTATTTGTTTTACTATTGCATGCAGGAACAAAGCCAATTATAGTTTGTTAAATCAAACATAGATTAAATCAACCATAGTTTATTTATTTAATCAATTTATATAGCCACCCATCTCAAATATATTACTCTGGGTGGCTGAGGAACAATTTAAAACAATGCAAAAACCACAGCTTAAAAGCAATTATAGTATTTTTTAAAAATCATAAAAACCCATACAACAAAATCCATCACAGAGGTCATCTCACATCCATCAATAACACTCAGTACATCCAATGCACATTAGCTTCCCTCTACTCCTGGGTGTTCAGGTGAATGGCAAAATCATATTTTCATGGCTTTACAGAAAAAAACCCAACAAGATTGGGGCCAGTCTAATCTCAGGGGGTTGACATAACAAAGGGTAAAGCCAAGATAGAACTATAATCTATAGTTTATTACAATGCAATAAATAATAAGCAAGTCAGTGCAGCCAATTTTGGATTGCAGGTGTATTGGAGCATTATTTCTCTTGCTGTTGTATTCTGTAGAAGGACATGTCCAAAGCCCTTAGAAAATCTGTGCCAGCTGGATCAGGCAAAAATGGAGATATATAGTCTCACTCTGTGCATTCAGATGTCCTTGCTATTACCACATGTTTTACTGTGTGATACAGTCAGTCCTCGACTTATCACCACAATTGAGCCCAAAGTTTCCATTGCTAAGCAAGACAGTTGTTAAGTAGGTTTTGTCCCATTTTACAACTTTTCTTGCTACAGTTAAGTGAATCACTGCAGTTGTTAAGTTGGTAACATGGTTGTTAAGTGAATATGGTTTCCCCCATTGACTTGGCTTGTCAGAAGGCTGCTAAAGGTGATCACATGATCACTCAGGACATTGCAACTGTTACAAGAACAGACCAGTTGCCAAGCATTTGAATTTTGATCACATGACTTTTGATCACATGACTCATGATCACATGGATGTTGCAATGTTCGTAAGGATGAAAAATTGTCATAAAGTCACTTTTTTCAGTGCCACTGTAACTTTGAATGGCCACTAAATGAATGATTGTAAATTGAGACCTACTGTATAAGTGACCTTGCATTGGGGAATGTACCAAATTTACAATTTTTTTAATGAGGAGAAGAGAGCCCAAGTGACTCACACTGAATACAGAATTAGTAGAGACATCCCTCATGTATGTCACCTTAAGCTGTCCCCCAAAAGCAAGAATAGTCATTCAACCATCTAACCCAGGGGTATCAAACTCAAGGCCCATGGGTCAGATCTTATTCATAAATCTTACTAAGTACCACGGGGTACTTAGATCTGGCCAGCGGGATCAGCCTGGAAACAACAAAGGACTGGCCTGCGGTGCCTCTGCTAGCAAAAATGGAGCTCCGTTTTTGCTGGCAGAGGGCTGCAGGAGGCCGTCCAAGCCAAAAATAGGGGTGTGGGCCTCCCCGAGTTCCATTTTCATTGGCCGAGGGCTACCAAAACAAACAAAAAACAAAACAAAAGGACAAATGTTTCCCCCTTTGCATCTGAGCATGCAAGAAGGGACAAGAAAGGAGAAAGGGAAAGGAAAGACAAAAAAATAGATGGGAAGAGAGCAAGGAAGGAAAAATAAGGAAAGAGAGGAAGGAAGAAGAAAGGAGAATGAAGAGGGAAGGAAAAAGAAGAAAAGGAAAGAAGGAAGGAAGGAGGTTATAATGAGAGTGAGGGAAGTCCTGCCTTAGTACTTGGCCACTACAGGTGCCCCCGATATGAGTCCCGTGTCATGCCCACCATGGCAACGCCCACCCCAGCCACGCCACCCCCCCCATCCCTCCGAGGTCAAACACAATCCTGATGCGACCCACAATGAAATTGAGTTTGACACCCCTGAGGTAACCTATTAGAGCAGAGATGTCAAATTCGCATAATCATGGCATCATTACGTGACATATCACAACTTTTCCCCCTTTGCTAAACCGGGCATGGGCATGGCCAGAGTGCGACTCATTGGGCCCACAGGCCATGAGTTTGACATCCCTGTATTATAGGGAAAGATGAGATGGTTCAGATGATCCTGGTCTGCAGGCCCACTGCTTTGGGACCTGCAGTAGAGAAGATCCCATTGGTTCCAAAGCCCTCTAGCCAAGCTGCCTGTCTCCTCACATTTATCTCTTTTTTTTTTCTCTTTGAGAGACCCAGGTGTCTATACTAAGAGGCAATTGGTCTGTGCTCTCTATAGCTAACACTCTGACACCTCCAGGCACAGCAGCTATTTAATTACTGACACAATGGCCCCTTCATCAAATCCAATCCTACTGAGAGCAACTTGATATTTAATGATGACTGCTGGGCTGGTCTACAACTTGACAAGGAAGTGAGAGCAAAACAAAATGGCTTGCCCTTCCCAGGGGGGAGTAGAAGTAAAATAAAATAAAAATATTCTAATGAATTGCAGTCAGTTGGGACCAGTTCACTACCCCTGTTATCACCTCAAGCTCATGGGAGAATGTTGTGTTTGACGAGGCTGGAATGCCTGAGTTTTTCCACAGATACCATCATAGCTCTTGTGCCAGTCCATTTGCCACAGTAAGGGCTCCACACTGGCCTGGGTTTCTGAACTACCTTGAATTGAAATTAGACAACCACAATGTAGATTTCTGTGGTCCGCAAACTCAGGTTACAGCTAGGTTTACAACAAGCTAAGGCTAAGTCATGTTTTCTTTAACTATGGCAGTTTCAATAAATTACAATTTGCTGCATTCAGATAACACTGTAAGCTATAAAAATGATTTACAAGGCAAAATGACATTTTGACTTACAATGCGGAATGATGAAAGCTCACAATTTTCAAGTTTCCTTTGTTCCATCCTACAAGGCCTGGTTTGTTTACCTGCTTGTTTACCTGCTTGCTTCCTGAAAGAAAGCTACATTATTGCAACTGCAACAACAAAAAAGCAAATCCCAGAGCAGTTTAAGAATGAACAAAAAATACAATACAATATATTCTTTAAAACAGTCCTCATTATATGTGACAGCCAAGATATAATAAGATGACAAAATTTAGTAAAAATAAAAAAAATGAAACCAAGAATAGGACCAGCTAGTGACTATTACAAGAAGACTAGGAAACTAAAAATATTTTTGCTTACCACTGAAAGCATATCAAATCAATTGGCCATAGGCAGGTAAAATTTATTTTTCACTAAGCAGTTCAGGAAATATCTACTTAAGAAGATTGCTACATTGAAATCATGTGTTTGCTCCAACTACATGGTGATTGTGTAGGAATTTAACCTTGCATTGAACTTTATGAGATGGGTGAAATCAAGAGATAGTGGTTGGAGTAAAACCAAATCTTAGTAAGATTTATGAATAAGTAGAGTGTTCTGCTTGCTGTAGAAATGTGGATAGCCTTGGTTGATTCCTGATTGCTTCATGGATACCTCCATGTCAGGCACAAAAGACCAGGACCATATGGTTCAGTTAAAATGATTTATTGTTAAATAGCCTTGGTACAGGAATTTTCTCAGCTAATAGTTAGGGTTAGGGTTAGCACCTTCTTGGATTTACATAAGGGACGGCCTGGGGGATTCAAGGGTCTGCTTATGGCTATGTAGGGATTCTAGATTGATCCCTCTTTTAACTCTGCTCTCAGGTTTTGCCACTCCTTCTCCTACAATGTAGGGATTTTGGCACTAGTACATAGATAGCCTGCCCTTCTTTTGGCTTCTCAATATAGCCTATGGGCACTGGTGTTCCCTAATGGTCTTTTGCCCCAAGTACTAACCAGGTTTATTCCTTCTGAATTAAAATAAATTAGCCAGATGCTACTGCCATGTACTGAGATTGAATTCAATGACTGGGGAATTCTTCAGCCCACATAGGAACAGCCCAGCTTGGAGCCAAGATGATTTTCTGCCAGTTATAATAGAAAATCCTGAATTAGATGACCATATGATGCTGATCCTCCTGTCTTGCTTGCCATGTCACAAAGGTATTTTACTAGCTAATTTTAAAGGATGTGTCCTAATGACCATCCTTCCTTCTCATGCCCTGCCTGCCATCTTTAATTATTCAAGGTTGGAGGTGACATTTTTCTTCTTTTCCTGGCAAACACTTCCATGCAGACAGCTTAGGGTACCTAGAAATGATGCAGTCGGGGAGAATAATGTGCTCAGGCAGATCTGTTTGGGGATGTTACCTCCCCCAATCTCCCCACACTCACTCTGGTTACTGGTCACTGCATCTC